GGTTTCTTCACTTCATGTCGCTAAATCGTTTCATAAGTTAGTCTCTAAATGACGTGACTGAGAGTGAATTAAGTAGTAGTTTGTGAGTAAAAGTTGTGTATTTCTACCTGTGTTTCCAGTTGATTACTGCGATGAAAGACAATCATCTTCTCATCGTCGTCTTGAATCATCGCAGTGCACTGAATGCTGATACATCGTGTCAAGCCTTTTACGGCATTTCTATGCTTCCAAGCCATGTGTCGAAGCAGGTCATTGTAGACGTCAGTGGAGGCCTTGCCCACGATCCCATAACTGCTTCTCGTTCGTTCAAACCGAATCCCCATGCCATTGAGCAGGGTGGTGGAGAATCCGCCCACAAAGATGGTTTCTTGACCCAGTTGAAGCCGGTTGGTCAGGAGGCCACAACTGTTGGCATTACAACTGAGAACTGGTGGTCAAGAGAGTAGTTTAATGTAAAGCTGCCTTTATATGGCTACTGCCATGTGAAAATGTTTCCTTTTCAACCCTTGTAAACATTTGACTGCAATTTACATGTAGATAATTACGATGCTTCTCCCTAACTGCTGTCGCGTCACTTTGGAGGACAACCAACATCCACTTGTGACTTGAGGAGAGAACTTTTGGGGGTTTGCCTAATTATGCTACTTATACAAATTCGCAACCGATCTGCTTCCAGAAATTTTCCCCCCAAGAGTCGGAATAAGTCGTTTATTCAACTTAAAACCGGAGTTTCGGTCAATTTACTCTCCACATTTTGTACAAGAGCGTTTCCAAAAGGCGTACAATATGAGATTTGACTCAAAAAATGCCAAATTTGCAGGCTGATGGACCGTCAAATTTTTTGATCCCAATGTCACTGCACTTGGCCAAAAAAAAACAATGATGCCCACCTGGATTGCCTTGAGTGGACCTTAATTCACTGCAACATGCAAACTATTTTGCAAAAATTATTTTTAAATATACCTTTTTAAGGGGAATAATTAATGGAGCACTGTGAACTGCGTATTTTCGCATTTGCGTGACAGACATGAAATGCATTTAGTTTGATCCACTGAGAGGTCTTGATCCCCAGTGCGACATTTGCTGCGCTCTCAGGCTTTCATTTTATTAAACCTTCAATCACGCATATCACATCGGTACTTCAAACTCGGATGAATAAATGTTTGTTTTTTGTTCTAGTTTTCCAGATAAACACCTGACATAAAATGAAGATTGTGGATCACGTTGGCATGGAGGATGTTGAGGGCGTTTAAGCCGCCACAAGTGGTGCTTGCACTTGGTGGCAGGTTTTACGCCAGGTCTGGAGGCCTCAAGTCTTGCACTCCTCTGTTGTAACTCCTTGTAACATTGATAGCATCAACCGAACCTCATCCGCACTGAAGAGCTGGAAACGACGTCTACCTTCTGCGACTGCCACCGGAGAGACAGTAGCCCGAAGTCAGTTAAAATAGTTTGTAGAAAAGCGTGTTAAGGAAGTCGAAAAACTTCTACCATCCTCACAAGCCTATTGTAACCTCAAGGAGTTTGAGACCTCGGCTCTTCAGCACCGGACCCCACTGGTCTCATGGCTAACACTAAAACCTCTTCAAACGGTCAACACACTTTCTCTTTTTGCAATGCAGCTTTCAAACACAGCAAAATCTAATGCCATTGCCAAAAAAAAGTTTCCGTAAATCCAAGAGATCAAACGTCGCCTTACTTGTCGGGGCAGTTTTTCAAAGCCCTGACCACTTTACAAGGGTCGAAATGAGAGTGACAAGAGAGAGCGCCAGGAATGAGGTAAGAGAAGGCACGAATCCGCTTGATTCTCCAAAAAAACTTGCTTATCTCAACCTCAAATGCGTCTAACAGATTAA